GAAGGAAGTGAATTATTTATTTTGATATTATTTGTCATTTTTAATTTAGAAAAAACTATCTAATTTAATTAAAATTGATAGCTAAATAATATTTTTAAATTATTAAATTAATTATTAAATTAATAAATAAGTAGATATCAGATATGTGGAATGAGCCTTTCTGCGTTATAAATTTGGAGAAGGGCCTTTCCTTATTAATTAAAAAAATTAATTTAATTTATTATTAATTTAAAAAAATCGGAAGGCCGAGGAGCGCGGAAAAAAATTAAAAGCGGAACTTGTTAAAGGCGGATCTATCATTCGTGATAGATTGGTTAATTTAAATGAAAAATGCCTAACACTATCCATTTTGCTATCTCTGACTATTAGGGCTATAGAAGGATATAAATTTAATGTGAATTGGATCAAGCCCAAAAAAGTTATAGCCTATCTAAGTCTGCGGCGCAAAAAAACTAAAAAATCGGGCTTCTTGGCCTTATAAAATTCTCAAAATTTTGCATGCGGTGCAGAAAAGAAAGAGATACCCTGATATCCTCCAAATCCCTAATCACTCAATAACCCTTAAATCAATGATATCTCTTGAAACTACCCTTAGTCCCTACAATTCCTCTTATATCCCCAGATATCCGCTTTAATCCCTCCAAATCCTCCTTAATCACCTCCAGATCCAATTAATCACTCCAATTTTTCTTATTTCCATTTAATCCCACCTTATTCTCATTAATTTGTGAATAAATTAACGAAAATAGACCCAAAACGGCTTATTTTTGAATATTTTTTTCACTAAAAATTTTTTCCCTAAACCCCCGTACCCCGACCCGAACCCCGAGTGTATTTTGCTCCCCCGACCCGAACCCCGCCCCGAAACAATTCGAAAACTCCGTACCCCGACATACCCGCCCCCGAGCGTTCGGGGTCAAACCCTAATCCTAAAGCACCACTTATGTATATTAAATTTAGGTATTTTCCACTTTTCCCCTTATAATTAATTTTCCTTCATTATAAAATCTTAACTTTGCAAAAAATTTTTATTTTACATTATCATTTTTATTCTTAATATTTTAAATTTAAAATAATTTTTACCATTTTTAACATTTTTTTACTTAAAGATTGATTTTTATTCATTTACCAAGTGAAGTCAGCAAACAAAATTTTTCATTCCCTCAAACATTTACTCTCTAACTATATTTCCTCTTTTTTCTACTTTTTTACTCACCACAATAAAGCTCTAACTAAAAATTTTCTCAATCAATTTTCTTTTATTTTTAGTTAAAAATGTCCAGTCTTTTTATTTTCGCTTTTTTAATTCTATATTTTCCAAGGTTAACTATAACAATAATAATTATTTCTGTTTATTTCAGATTATCCAAACAATTAAAAAGCATATACAAATAAGCTATTTATTTCCTAAGGCTAAATAGGAGGCGTCGTGATATAATAGATAACATACAGTCCCTTGTATTGAAGATGCTTGTGCATGATTCAGGACCATAAGACGACTTAGTAAATCTTGGTCTGGGTTCTAATATATTTTCGTTTGATAGTCCATATAAATCCGATACCTCTTTCAAATGAATTTTTTAATCCAAAATATGAGAGGGATACAGCTTTAGCCCAGTTAAGCTTTATTAAGATATTCTTCTTAATGCAAGCTAACTCCGGATTATTTTCTCATTTTAAACCTATTTCAATATTAATTTTTTATTTGATAATTGATTGTTTTTATAAATAATTGACTTATTAATCAATAAAAACTAATTGATAATTTTTTCCTCTTAAAATAAATATTCCGTCATTTTTTAAAATAAATATTCATTTTTGAGATGCTGAATGAGTAAATGAAAGAGAAAATTTTATTTAATTAAAATTAATTAATCAAAAAATTATATTTTATGTTCTTATTTTATTTAATTAAAAGACATCAAATTTTAATTAGAAAACATTTAATTATTTTATTCATTTTTTCTTTAATTTTTATTATTTTACTAATTTATTATGAAGAATTAAATGTTGGATATGTTGTTAATTTATATGGAGATTATTATACAAAAACTGTTTACAAAACTATTGATATTAGACACAAACAAAGTGAGGATAAATACCGTATTTACTCTAATTAAATGACATCTCTAATTAAATGACACTTTTTTGGGGCATATGAAAAATAGAATGACAGTCCCCAATCGAATGACATCTCTAATTGAATGACATTTTTTCGGGTATACATATGAAAAATAGAATGACTGTCATTCTATTAGAGAAAATACGGTAAATGGGCTATTACTCGTTCGGGAACAGGAGAGAATCTCACCCCGGATAAAGGTCTCATTCGACTCAGCTCGACGAGCTCTTTCGAATGAGCTATCATTTATATAGATTTTCGTCTTTATGATTTTGTGCCCCTGTGGTTTAGGTGTCTTTATTTCGGTCAAATGTTGTCCGATTTCGGTGATTTTGGTGTCATTCGACACAGCTCGATGGATTCTACAATTGTTGTCAGACTGACCATTTTTACACAATTTTCGAAAAAACGGGGGGGGGGGGGGGACTAAATAAGTACCACCTTTTTAGCATTTTTTCCTAGGGACCAATGATCTTAAGGATTACTAAATATGTACACATATTTTTCAATTTTAGATCATTTCGAAAAAATTTGGGTAATTGTTATTGTCGATAATGCCAAAATTTTATCAAATTACAACCTTGCACAAAGCACATTAAAGTGTTATTGTCAATTGAATGGATATCCTCTTGAAGTTATTAATGCTTCTGAGATGGGAGAGAAGAATAATAATTGTACACAAAAAGATGTAAGTAAATAACGGGTCGGAAAATTCTGGTCCGTAAAATTTGCGCCACGAAATAATTTTCAAGATTTCTAATATTTTTGAACCCGACTTTTCTTCAACAGAATTCAAATTTTAAGCCTAACATTACTCCAAATTATTCCTAAAAAATTTCCTACTATTCACAACAATTGCCTTATAAGTAGGGTTGTCGGCAGTGCTTCGAAGCTCGTACCAAAATTCGTACTCGTATCTGGTACGAAGTACGAGTACGAGCAAAAATTTTGGACAGGTACGAAGTACGAGTATTTTACGAAGTAGGTACGAAGTAGCGAAATTTCTTTAAATTAAAATTTTATTTTTAATTCCATTTTATTTTTGTTTCCTTTATCTAAATACATAATCTATGTAATTTTCCCATACATTCTTTGTTTTCCTACACATACATTAATGTTTGGCCTTACACCTATAAAATTAGTTTTGTTTTTCTTCTTCCCAGTCTTCAGTTCACTTGTTCACTTTACTAATTGTACTTCCTTTGTTTTACAATAGCAATATTTTTAGCCTTCCTATAATTTATATTTTGGTGAAAGAAATAAAAATTCGATTGAAAAAAGAGGTGTTTTTTGTTTATAATTAGAGAGATTAGGACGATTTCTCTACAGTCTTACCCAGATAACGAACCTTGCTTCCTACTTACCAATTTTATTCTATTTTTTTGAATTTCTTACTCCTTAATTTTGTGATTGTTCGATTTGTATTTAATATTTTCCTTACTGATTTTAATATTTGTTTTATTTTTGACTACCACATATATTCTTTTTGAAAAATGTCTCTCCCGTTCAGAAACCAAATTAAAAGCCTATACCCGGAAATTACCGAGATTTTGGAAGCAAATAAAACTTTTCCCGTCCCTCTCCGAAACCAGGGACAATCGGATCATATATACTATTCCCAGATCCGTGCCTACGTCCGTGAATTGGATTTTACGCTTTCCGAGGCCTCCGATAACCTCACCGACCTCTCTACTACTCACGACCAATGGATGGCCCTTCGAGAAAAAATGACTGGTCCCGAACGTACCCATGACAATGAAGTCTATGAGGAATTTACGAAAACCTGCCCTTACCCTTCTCTTATTGGAAAACTCAAAAAATATGTCCGATCACTGACTGCCCAAAAGAATGAACTAACCGTTATTTTACCCGGCGATAGTTCCAATACCCTACCTCCTACTGCTAATACTACCTCTACCTCTTTGGCCCACTTACCACGAATGGCCTTACCGCACTTTTCCGGGAATTGTGTTGAATTCCCGTCATTTTGGTCATCCTTCCAGGCTGCCGTCGGAGACCTACCAAATATTTCCGACTCAGTAAAACTTTCCTACCTTAAATCCTGCCTTCGTTCGGCTCCGTTAGCCGTTATCGAATCTTTCCCTCTGGTGGACCAATCTTACCCTCAGGCAGTCGATTTACTAAAACAGAAATATGAAAACCCTACTGAAATTTCCCGTTCCTTATGCCAATCCCTCAAACAACTACCAACAGTTAGAAAAGGAGACAACTTTTGCCGTGATTTATCTTCCCTAGTTAATGAATTCGAAAGCTTAATTTGCCGATTTACTCAACAAGGAGAAAATACCGACAACATACATATTCAATTGGAAATAGAATCAAAACTACCCACATTTGTATTAGAAGAAATCTACAAAGCTAAAGAAAATAATCCTGCTTGGACAACAGAATTATTAAAACAAAAATTGAAAGCTATACTGAAAAGAAAAGAAGATATTTCAGCATTGAACAACAGCCCTCAAAAACCGCAAGTTCAAATTTCCCCTCAAAATTTATACCCTCCTAGAAATGACTCGCCTCCCCTCCCTCAATCCTCATTAACCTTCCATACTCAAACAATGAGAAATTTTCCCTCAAGAGAACCCAAGCTTCCCTGCCTGTTCTGCAATGTCTTTGGCCATTTCTCCCCTTCCTGTCAACAATATCCTGACCTATATTCCCGCCGAAATAAACTCAGAGAATTACGGCGGTGTTTTAGTTGTATGAAAGAAGGGCATAAATCTCCCCAATGCCGAATGCCAATGAAATGCTCTTCCTGTTGTGGTCCTCACCCACGGGCCCTTTGCTCTCACCTAATACCCTCAAAACCTCAATTTACTCCGAGGCCTCCACTGCCTTCCCTTAATCATACGGCTGACGAAAATCCTCGCCCATTCCAATATCCCACGAGAATGCCAAATTTTACCCTGCCCAAGCCAACCCCGGATGTTTACTTTACCCAATCCATGCCTGACAATAAAATTACTGAACCAACCTCACCTCCTCACAATTTAAACCCTAACCAGCATACCTTTTGTTCACAAACGATACCTCAAAAACCTCCCATTGAATATTTCCCCATCGACAACAGAGGAATTACCAAACCCTCCAAATCAATAGTGATGACTAAATACCTGCCTAAACATCAACACAACATGAATAAATTGAAACAACGCCCAACTACAACAAAACCAAAAGCCTTGCGGGAGGGTCTAACGAAAATGGCAGCAACAACAATGGAATGTAATCCCCTGCCAATAAAGGTAAAAATAAAACCTAAACTGATTAATTCTCCCCCTATATTTCCATGCACAACTTTTCCTAATTGGCATGGTGGTTCGTGTTTGGCTTATACCCTGGCCTATGTTCCCGTACAACGACAACCCATTCCGTTATCCCAGATAAACTTCATGGTGCGCCACCCACCAACACCTTTGAATATGCTCAACGTCAACCAACAACGATGCCCCTTGCTGCTGCCCCCACAACTACTCCCACTAAAAGCCTTGGCCGGAATGTCGCGAAACGCGAAATTTCTTTAAATTAAAATTTTATTTTTAATTCCATTTTATTTTTGTTTCCTTTATCTAAATACATAATCTATGTAATTTTCCCATACATTCTTTGTTTTCCTACACATACATTAATGTTTGGCCTTACACCTATAAAATTAGTTTTGTTTTTCTTCTTCCCAGTCTTCAGTTCACTTGTTCACTTTACTAATTGTACTTCCTTTGTTTTACAATAGCAATATTTTTAGCCTTCCTATAATTTATATTTTGGTGAAAGAAATAAAAATTCGATTGAAAAAAGAGGTGTTTTTTGTTTATAATTAGAGAGATTAGGACCATTTCTCTACACGAGGCCAAAAAAAGTGAAAAGTACGAGGTACGAGGCCTAAGTACGAGCTCGTACTTCTCGTACTTGGTGTTAATAGGAAAATCGAAAAAATATGTTTAATTTTTTCTATACCCATTATATGAGCGAGTGGCCGAGTGGTTAGGGTGTTAGGCTTCACCAAAAATGTTAGTGATTTAGATGTGGGTTCGATTTCTGTTCAGACGACAATGAATTTTCATATTTTTCTTTCTTTAAATAACATATTTTATATGTTTAATTTTGTTTTAGAAATTATTCCATTTTTACATGGAGTAATTATGAGATTTTGACCCTCAAAATTCTTAAAATATTTTTACTTTGAACTCTAAAAAGTGAATTCTTTTTGCCTACGGCCTTCCGAAATTTTCAAAATTCGCCTGCGGCGCAGAAAAATGCAATAAATCTGGCTTCATGGTCTTCAAAATTTTTGAAAATTTCCGCCTGCGGCGCAAAAAACGGAAGAAATCTGACTTAAGGATATCCAAAATTCTTAAAATTTTTGCCTGCGGCGCAGAAGAAATTTGAGCTTAAGAGGAATAACAGGAGATAAAAATGTGAAAAGTTCGGTGGAAAAGGTATAAAGTTTCATGAAGTGAATGAAAACCCGATGAAAAAATACCGTGTTTCGGGTAACCCGAGCCATCTTGGAGACAATATTGTTCATTGCACTCCAATATGCTCAAAAATTTCGCCAGCGGCGCAGAAAATGGATTATATTGGAGGATTTATGGCTTTAAAGCCTTCCAAGATTCAAAAATTATCGCATACAACGCTTAAAATTTAAAACTAGATGTTTCGGACTCCAAAAAATCATAAAAATTTTAGATTTTTTGATTTTTTCTCAAGTACGAGTAAGTACGAGGTACGAGTACGAGGTACGAGGCCAAAAATATAGGTGGTACGAGGTACGAGTACGAGTACGAGCAAAAAATAAGGGTGGTACGAGGTACGAGTACGAGGCCAAAAAAAGAGGTGGTACGAAGTACGAGTACGAGTACGAGCAAATTTGAAATTTCGAAGCACTGTTTATAACTCGTGCATACCGGTGCTTAACAGAGATTCTGCCGACAAAAAAACAAAATTTCCGATTTCGGGAATCGGTTCAGCAAGATCCCTGTTGCCTAATTTCTTTAACTTTTCAGTTTTATTTCCAACGTCATTGCATTCTTGCCAATTTTCTTTCTTCTCACTCAACGGATATTAAATTTGCATTTTTTATGGATGCCGATATAGGTGTCATTAATCCAAATCATTCACTAGAAGAATATTTGGAAGGAAAAAATGATTTTGATTTAATTTTTTATGAAAGGATATTTAACGGGGAAATTATGGCTGGAAGTTATATTTTAAAGAATACTCAATTTACTAGAAAATTCCTTTATTATTGGGCTGATTATTATTTTAAAGTGCCTAATAGTTTTCATGGAACCGATAATGGGGCAATACATGTATGTTTATTAACTTGTATTTTTTTGTGAAAAATTAATCAAATAAAAGAGATACCTCACTTAGAGTTTATTAAAATTTATTTTCAGTAAATTTTGATGAGTTCGATATTAGCGACGGGAATTATCTTAAGGAGAACTGAAAGGAGGGAGAACGGGGGCTCAAGGGGAGACCTCGAACGTTCGTCTGAGAATTCCATTCCACGGAGAAGGGAATTCTATATATTTGTAGCCACGGATATTCTAAAATTGGAATCAAATTATTTCCTTGTATTTTATATTAAATTTTATACTAATTTACCTTCATTTTTGACTTAAACTAAATTTAAAAAATATTTTTAAGTCAGTATTTCTCGATTTGTTTTGTGATAATTCAAATGAAAATTGTTCTGAAAAAAGACGGGTTTGTTCACATCTCTGGAATGTTTCTCTCGATTTTGATACTCTATTACCTTTTACTTTGTGTGCCAAATATATACTTGGAGCTAGAAATGTATTTACTACTTCAATTTCTGATACAAAATTTAATAGTACAGGAAAGGTGCTTCTACTGACTGATTTTAGGCAATATTGGGCAAGAGGTTAGACATTAAGTGATAATAGATTCCAAATTGGGTTCAGAGCTGTTTCGAAACAAAATAATCTTCGAAAACAAATATCACGAAATTGAAGATTCGAAACAACACTGATTGTGATCAGGGGCGGGCGCATTGCGTTATTTGCGTTAAATTTTGGCCTTGCGTTGCGTTTTGCGTAAATTTGGCCCTAATAAACGCAAAAAACGCAAGAAAAATACCCAATCTGAGGTCAAAATTGAAAGAAATCTGGCTCTTTGGCCTTCCATACTTTCCAAAATTTTCGCCTGCGGCGCAAAAAAGGAAGAAATCTGGCTCATGGACCTTCAAAATTCTCAAAATTTTCGCCTCCGGCGGTAAAAAAAGGAAGAAATATGATGACTTTGTCTTCCAAAATTCTCAAAATTTTCGCCTGCGGCGCTGAAAAAGGAAGAAATCTGGCTTCTTGGCTGCGCTAAAAAAAATGAAATATGTCTGTTTGGCCTTCCATAATTCCATAATTCTCTGCAAATTACATGATAATCTCCGTATTCCCCGCTACTATTATCCCCCTATAATCTACTATCCCGCAATACCCCCTTGATCCCTCTAAATCCTCTGATATCCTTTATAATCCCCTTATATCCCCGATATTACTCCAAATCATTACCCATCTAACTTACATGCATCAGAAAATAGAATAGGACTCACTGTCTTAATGTAATACTTCAATTTTTAGCTGAAAAGTAGCTAATAATTAATTGAAAATTTTTTTTCACAATTTTGCGTTTTTGCGTTTTGCGTTGATTTTTGGCCTTGCGTTGCGTTTTTGGAAATTGCCTCTTGCGCCCGCCTCTGATTGTGATATTTGTTGAAGTATTTATGAATATGCGAGGTCCCTAAGTTTAGAAATGAGTTGTCTTTATATTTTTAGATACGACTTAATAATATTTTATATTAAAAAATATACATAAGTCTTTATTCGAGGCCCCATTGAATCAATGTAAGGAGGTAGCTACAAAGTTGGCTAAATCATAGGTGTTCAGCCATCTTGTAGCTATAACTTCCAGAAGGTAATAACCTCCTAAGTTACCTTCCAAAATTAAACTTCTTTCCAAAAAACCTTCCAAAATCAAATTCATTTCTTATGCCTCAATTATCAAACTCTCAATATATGCTTACCTAATATAAATGCTATTTACGAATCAGAATAATTAATTAATATTATTAGATGGTTGGTTAACTGGAAATTGTTGGTCATCAAGGGATTTTTTAATTCATGGATGGCAGAGTCGGTAAATTCCTGGATTTATTTTTACTCTTAAAAAATTTTCGTCAAAATTTTTTAAAGTCGTTTAAATCGACAAACATTTGCCGGTTGGAATTCTCCCTTTTCTTTACAAAAAATTCAAAATCAAAAAGAAAATTGTTTAAACCCAATGGTTGCCTTTAAAGAATGGCCATATAAAAATACTTTTATTTGGACAAATGAACAAATTGAAAATGAGATTGAAAGGATAATTAATGAAAGGAATATTAAACATATGGGAATTTTAATGAAAGAAGTTATTAACAGAAAATATTGAAAAATTTTGTTTTTTACATATTCAAGTTGACGGGTTATTTTATTAAATATTTAAAATTCACAGAATTATATAGACATTTTTTGCCCAAAAAATAAATTTATAGTTGTTACATTTTGAGATTTGTTGTTATTAGAGTTCGAATTTTTCACTTTGCTGGGCTTGGTATCCGGTTTTTTTTCTTCCAATCCGTCCCGGGCCGGGGTTTCCGGGCTAAAGCCTCGAAAATCCGGAAAACCGGTTTTTTTCACACCCGGGTAAAATTTGATAAACCTTTTTTTCTTAAAGAAAAAACAAGAGAAAAATATCATTACTAGCGTTAAACAAAATTTGATACAAATAATAAGAATCAAATTTTACATAGAAAAATAATTATTTTTTAATTAAAGAGATCTCAAAAATTTTTTAAATTATTTTGTTTGCAAATAAAATTTTTAATGATCATGAACGTCGAGTTATTCCAAGTATTTTTTCACAAATACCTACAGATTCACTCAAAAGTTGGTCCTTAATTTAAAATTTTAATACATAATTAAATTGGTCTTATTTTTTAATCAAGAAATTTTTAAATTAATCAAATCATCTGGCAATTAGTCGAAATTTTTCTTTAATTTCACCATCCACTAATTGTAAATACTTTAATTATAAATCAGAGATCCTGCCAACAGAAACCCCCAATCCGTTATTTTCATGAATTATTGGATAAGGTATATGGAAGTATACTTTTTATATCAGATATATTATATCAGGTATCGACAGGATCAGTTATGCTAGAACTGTCCAATACCAAAAACTTCCCAAGATTCATGAAGAAGAATGTCCTTAGTCGACTCTAGACAAAAAGTCTTTGACAGCTCTAACATTCATCTTTATTTATGGCTTAATTTTATTAAGCCAGTCCCAAACTAACGTCTCATAAATATCAAAATTAAATTTTGTGAATTTTAATTATTTTTACTTAATAATGTGCTTACTTGTACCCTAACATCACAAACAGAAGCACCTAGTTTTAATTCTTTACCATTGGCATCAAAATATTTTCCACTAATTCCTTCAAACTCTTTATCCTCAATTAATCTAACAAGTGTTTCTAAAGCATTTACATGTTCGTATAAATATGGCTCTGAAGTTGCAGGAAATATAGAACTATAGAATTGGGCACGGTTTGAATATTGAGGCAAACTAAAAATTTTAGGAAATTTTAAAATAAATTTTTTATTTGAAAATCTTAATTAAGCAGAAATAAGCTGCAGCTTGTCTTTTATTATATAATTTATATCCGTCGTATTCATTTTTATATTGTCTTCAACCCCTCTCCTTTCATATACAATTAAAAGGATTTTTTAATCGCTTTATAGATTCTCGTTAGTTGTTCAGTTTATATGTTTCAAACAGAGGTGAATTGGTAATGACGAAGGTGCAGGAATTCAGAACTGTCGGAACTCGGAAATCAGCCTAAATTTTCGGAAATCAGATTCCGATCCACCTCTGGTTTTAAATGTTTTAATAATCACTTGGCCTTTTCAACGATTAAGTATTCCCTCCCTTACACCAATGTCCTCGATTTGGGTTCCTGGCAATGGAGACAGCTTTTAATTGGGTGTCTTACCTCTATTATACTTAGAAACGAGTTAGTATTTTAGAATTTTTAACGGAAAATATTATAGTATTTACATCGTTCGTCCCTCCTTCTCGACCCTCTTTTCTGCGTCCACTACATTTGCAGTAACTTGGAATTGTTTTTTATGTTTAAACATTAATCGGTGTATGTACAATGTAGCTAAATGATTCATTAACTTTGTAAGGGAATATTGTGCAAATTTATCATATTTACATACTTCAGAGTTAATATCATTCCAATTTATTGAACTGCTACTAAAATAAATTTAAAAATCAAAAGTCAAAAGGTCCAAAAAAATCCAAAAAACATAAGAACTACAATTAAAACGCTGACTGGGACAAGGCTTTAGGGACCCGCAGCCGGGTATTTAGATAGAATCCGGGGGTTTTTTCTGGTTTTAGCCCAGAAAGCCTGGCCATGGTCAGTTTAAAATAATTACTATGGATACAAGACCCGGAAATACCTATGAGAAGTTTGAACCCTAACAAAAACATACAAATTATGCAACATAGAACCAACAGTTAAAATCCTTGATGGAGAATTTAGCTCAAGCAAGGGAAGTAATTCAGTGAACAAAACAATGTGAGAAAGGTGGTTGATCTTAAAAAATTATTTATAATTTAAAGTGAGAATGAGGTAAAACAGTCCTAAGAAGGCCTCCTGACAGTTATTATCATGAGATTTTACTTTAGCTCATCAAGTACGAGTGCGAAAACCCTAATCTATTAACATAGAGGTGCAGCCTTGCTTTCACTCTCTTTTAATGAAAAATTTTTGAGAAAAATTTAAGAATTTTATGAAGTTTTGGATAAGATATGAAGTCTTACTTGCAAAGTAAGCTCAAGCCCGTCATGAGATTTTATTCTTCGCTGAACAACAACAGATGCACAAGCGATTAATGTATTTAGTCGAGGAAATCTTAACCGAACAACCTCTGACATTTTTAGAACCTTAAATTATTGAAGAATTTATCAAATTAACAGAATTTATTAAATTAGGCATTCTATCCTTCGAAAAATGGAACATGTAGTTAAACTTCCTTTAAGTTGGCTATGTTGTATGAGGAGTTGCCTAACCCAACACTTACTTCATCTTAGGGACAATTTTTCGTTCCCCGGTCTAATATATTACCTCAGATAGTTTCGAAAAGTCAGCAGCTACGAAATCTACATTCCTTTGTTTTCTATTATTCCCAACAATTTCATGTTCCATTCCCAATTCCTCAACAGTTTTTTGACAATTCTTTTCACTTCTCCCATGTATAATAACGAAATTTTCATGAATATTAGCTGCCAATTCTTGTGCTAATTGGCGGCCAAACCCGTCTGTTGAACCAGTTATGAGTATCCAACGCTTGAAACTACAGAATTTATTGAATAAATATAACCAGATATCGGAATATTTAAAGTGAGTTGAGATTTTTCGATATTAATATTATCTATGCTTGATTGGATCCTTCGGTCTATTTGACTTCCCTACTCAAATCTAGAGAAAGAACCCTCTTATGCCTACCAACTACCTTCCAAGCTCCTTCGGTCAGAATCGGACCATTATGACAATCCCAATAGAAACGTGGAAAATACTAATAGAAACTCGCGAAAACCCTCCTTAAAAACCCCCTCCCATTATGAACCCCCACTTATTAACCCCCTTATTCATGCCCCTAATCTCATAGAGAATATAAACTAATAACTGAAGGAATATCTAGAAATTTTGATCAAAACAGATTTAAAATAAACCAACTTTAATCCATCATTATTTAAATTAGAGGACATTGAGTTATATTTAGATGCTATTCTGATATTGTCAATTTTATTTTTTAAGTAATTTACATTATTTTACGAAGCTCGTTTGGAGAATTAATTTATATACAAAAATTTTTTCGAATAAATTTAATTGATGGACATTTAATTTTTTTAAAAGCAATTTTAATTTTAGCTACAAATTAAATAATTTACTCAATTAAATAAATGTACTGCACTCATTTACCTAATTTAAAATGTATTTAATTTTTAAATAGTAAATATAAACTTTGGTACAAAAACACATGCGCCTATACAGGGTGCGTAAAAAGTTCCCGGAATTAATCAAAATGGATTTATTTTGTTGTATATCATAATAAAAATAAGTTTACACATACAAAACGTTTATAAGGATCATGTAAATAAATAATCATAACAAATTTTCAAAATGAGATCCGACAGCCGAGATACACGCACCCAAACACAGCCGAAAAATTCCTTCGTTGGTCGCGCACCCCTCTTCTGTTATTGATCCCCAGGAATATTTTAATGCCGTCCTAAGCGGCTCTGTTGACGTGTGTCGTGTGCAGGGGAGTCTCTGCTACAACATAGACCAGACCGAAAATCCATTGGATTGAGAACCGGTGAGTTACAGGGCCAAATATCCTTTCCCCAAAATCCATGAAACAACTTTGCATTGAGGTTAATTGTTGTTTTGGCTCCATGTGCTGGTACCAAGTCCCGAATCATCACAGATTGCGGGAAAAGTCTTTTTTACACACCAATTAGTCTCACGGACTTATTGGTGTCAGTTTCTGATATTGTGACAGCGTTGGACGTTAAAAATTTTCATTTAAGTAAACAACACCCGTTTAGCCGACCAGCTGCGACCAAGCGCTTCAAAAAACGACATTTTTGGGGGAGTTTTGAGAGGACTTTTTGACATCTATTCTCTGAAAATTTTTTATAGACTAAATGTTTTCTGAACCAAAAATAGTGCTGAATATGATTGTGAACGAATTTTGTTTTAATAATCAATGTTTAAACCCAATAGTTGAAATTTTAAAAATTCCGGGAACTTTTTACGCACCCTGTATTGTCCTTAATGGATAAGAATCTGTGAAATTTTTTAATTTTGTAAAATCTTCTTTAAAATAGAAGAGGCTGATAAAACCACATTTCAGAAATCCGTAACAGTATTGAATTTCGAAAAGCCGAAGCGAATCAAGTTAACGGGATGGTATCTCGTAAAATCGTGTACGGGATCCGTTTGTGCCGATCTCTAATATAGATGTTTTTCGATTCAGCACTTTTAGTCTTATGAGAGAAAAATTATAGGCTTTTTAGGTTGTTATTTCGATTAAACAATTTGTTAAAGATGTTTAAAAATATGTCAAAAATATTATTCAAAAATTTAACTTGATTTAAAACAAAAACGCTTAGAAGCTGGTTGCTTTTAAATGTCTTTATTGATGGATTTTGCCTAGCATATAGAAAGAATTGACGTAAGAACAAGCTGGATACACTTTCCATTTTATGTGTGTTTTGTTAGAGTGAAAGGAACAGCCAGCTTGTAAATAATAGAAAAGGGATTAGTTAAATGGACTAGCGGAAGTGAAAAGCTTCTCGTTCTTTATTTAACGTTTATTTCCAAAATTTTGGCCCATCTTAAATATTAAGCAAATTTAAGGTTGACGGATCCTGGAAAATTATGAATATGCGGATACGCCACAAAAATTTATAAGTATCCGGCTTTACAGGGTGGGGCAAAAGTTCGGCGACAAATTTTATTTTATCCTTTCTTAAAATTTACTTTATATTTTGCTTTTTGATTAGATTTCCCATATTCTATGATTCGCGCTCTACAAATTTTATCTTGAAAATTTTTTCCTATCTCATAAAGTAAAAATTTTACAGAATGTTAAAGAATTGTGCTTCTATTATTTCTTTGTATTTTAAAAATGTCCGAAAATGTGACATCGCTAGACGGCTAGATATCTGTCGTATATTGGTTTCCAAAGCAATAAAACGATATCATGAGCTCGGAAATACTCAGGACCGCCTTAGTAGTGGCCGGCCTTTAACAACAGTTACGTCTGAAAACATGAACGGAGTCAAATGCCGAATTCGCCGTTTTTCTGAACAATCGATGTGAAAAACGGCCTCAGATCTCGGAATGAGCTCGAAGAGCCTCCTAAGAATTGTCAGAGTGAAGCTTAGACTTTGGAGCTAAAAGATCAGCCCCGTATATTTCCTTATCAATCGAATGAAGCATCAGTCTTCAGAAATGTCGAAAGGATTAAACACCTGGTCGCAGCTGGTCGCCATAACAGAGTGATGCCTGTAAAAATTAATGCTAGTCTAAAAAAATGACATTCTGAGGGGGGTTGTGCATCCATGGGCGTTATAGCATTTTGGTGAAAACCATTTCTCGCTTCAGCAGGATTGGGTACCTGTGCTGGAGCCAAAACGACAATCCAGCTCTGTGGGGGAGCTGTTTCCTGACTTTTGGGGGAAAGATATCTGGCCTTCAAACTCAACGGATTTATATCCGTGGATTATTCTATTTGGGCAATTCTGTAGCAAAAAGTATGCCGAATCCGATACGCAACATAGGAGGAACTGAAAATTGTTTTGAGCGGGACTGGAACTAAATATCCTATGAACAATGCGCGACCATTGTGAGTCACAACCTTAAGCGTTTGGATGCGTGTATTTCAGTCAGGGGCGGTCATTTTGAGAAATCACTTTAATAAAATGATTATTATATCCTATTGATTATATTTTATCATTTTTTCATGTTAAATAAATTTTTTTACAATAGATTTTATTAAAAACATTTGTCGCCGAACTTTTGCCCCACCCTGTATTTCGGAACAGGATGTTGATCGTCAACCTATGAAAAATATTTGTGAGATTGTAATAGTTTGAAAATTCAAAACCTATATTACTTCAAGACAGAGAAAAATCCATGTCATTAAGAATCAATACTAGAAATTAGGGTTGGTCTAAAACCCCCGATTCCTCGAGTCATCTTTTTTACCCAACGCTGATTTTTAGGCCATTGCCCAACGCAGATCACCGAAATGCTATCCACCGAATTTTGCATTCCCTGAAGTTTTCTCAGGAGGGTATGGTAACTAACCAAACTGTGAATTTAAAAGATTTTAGACAAAATTTTTTATAAAATGATTTTAAAAAATAATTTTATGAGTACAAAATTTGGTTATAAAATTAAAGATTTTTAATAAAATTCATAAAATTCTTCAGCAACCAAATGCTTTGAAATATCAAAGCTAAAAGGTTTAGCGTCCAAATCATGTCCAAAGTTAGTTTCAACAGAATATCCAGAAATTTGTACAAATGGCTGGTAATAATCATTATTTCCTTCCAACACAATTGCCTTACCTACATATCAAAAAATTAAATATTTTTCAATAGAAAAAATAAACATTCCGATAATAGCATTTGCTCGATAAATCCCCCCTTCAAATAGGGAAGGGATAGTGAAACCCTCTAGTGAAAGGTTGAAAAGATATACTCCCCTTCCTACTGTAGTACCTACCACACGTTCAAATTTTCCCTTTAAAATATTTCCCTCTTTCCCTCTCCTGATTACCTTCCCGTTATAGCGAGATATTGAAATGCAATTAAAAATTAGTTCCTTACCAACCATTAGTTCCTTACCAACCTACCTTTACCTAACATATGTAGCCAAATGGTCCCCAAACTCCCATAGAATTTAGTTAACACCAATAAATTATTTTTCTCAATTCCTTACAAATTTGCTTTCCATTTTGAGTGTAGAAAACGTATGGCATTTTATTCTCAAGTCTCGAAGCTGGATAAACAAGACAACACCCAACAACATCGTCATCACTCCAAGTGAAATTTTCAAGTGTGAAACTTTGAGGAATATTCTCATTTTGCATTTGGTAGTGAATAATGCTACTAAGTGGCCACATCTTGATTGTATCGCTGTTATTGGCAAGACCGAATGTCAAAGATTTCTGATCAGAAGTAATCCCTTCTTCCAATTTAAGTTTGAGCTCATAGTAAAATAACGAGAAAACATTACAATTGACAGGCTTTTTAAAATGATTTACAGCCGTTATTAATGGGAATTTGTTAACTAAAATGTTTTTTAAGAATCAAAGATGATTAGAGTATGAAGGCAAAAAAAGCCTACAAGTATGGCGTTTTGGATCTATAAGATCTCCTCGTGTTACTTAAAACACTTATCCAGATTCGTTTTAAGTGTTGACTTGATCTCTCGATTAGATTCTGACCAAAAATGTAGGGGTTGTAAAACTGTAAACAACCTAGTTAAGACTACTTACAGTCTATGCCGGAATAATTACCCGGGTAATTATTGTTTAACCTATTACTAGAGGGGATAAGGGGTAATTATTGAGAGTAATGGAGTATTAGAAAGGCTACTTATTCAAACATAAAAGGTAATATAATTCTCAAAATTCACAAAAATCCTACCCTTTCCTTCAGCACATTTAATATATCTAATAGTCCCATCAGTAGTCAATTGAATAAATCCATTTCTAGACTTACAAGTACCATAAGGAGACTCAGTATTTACACATTTAGTCCCACAACATGGATATTTAGTAGTAACTTTCCATTCGTTATCAATATTTACAAAAGACTACAAATATTTTTTTTGTAATTTTAAATAAATTAACTAACCCCTTTTTTAAATGTTGAACTATTTAAATATTTTAATTCAACTTTCATAGAGTCAACCGAATTTCTAGTTGCAACATTCGAATCATCCACCTTTGATAAAATTAAATTAATTTTTTTATCAAGGTCATTAAAATCAAGACATAAATTTCTACTTATATTTACAGTAACCCTTAGCAGGATTAATTTGTCAAACATTATAGTGAGGATTGAACAAACTAGATTAAAAAACATGGAAATACACGACCCAGATTCAACTTATAATGAAACGAGACGTCTCAAAAATTCGAAATTTCTAACGTTTTTGTGCCAGGGTTTAAAAATTTCTTGAAAATTAGGGAATATTTTTTATGTTGGCTCATTCCCTGCTTTGTATCGTCGAAATTTTAAATAACTATCAATCATTAAGGCATCCGAGAAATTTTTTGTCGGGCAAAAATTTAAATTAGGTAGATATTTTTAGAATTCCTTTTTTGATCCTCTACTACGTTGATATATACCTTTTTAATTTTTTCAACTTGATCATGATGTAAATTGAAAAATTCATTTCTAAGGTCGCCGACTTTCTTATTAAAATCAGTTTGTATACTTAACAATTTTGAATGCTGAAGTTTCTTTTCCTCCTAGAATTAAATTAATTCAAAAAATTAATTTAAATAATTCAATCACTTTCTCTTTAGCTTTCTCATCAATCAAATTTTGAAAAGTTTTTCCAAATTCCTCAATTTTAGTTAATTGATCTGATCCAGTTATATCAAACTGTAAAATTATTATAATAAAGGATTTACAGCCAAACTTTGATTTTATTTAATACCAAACTCTAATATACCTCAATTTAGGATATCGTAAATGCTCAAATAATTACCCTCTCTCGAGTAAATTCAATCTATAAGAGTGATCGGACTAATTGTAAGAAGGTATTTCTCATATTATAAGGAATACATTAAGTAAAAGCTTTCGATCACTACTCTCTAATAATTGCACCTATTTTCCCGACGTTAATTTTGAAATATTTAAAAAATCATTACCTCTAATTAATAGAGAATTTTAAGAATCAATAGCAAAAAATAAATTAGATTGTTGAGATTTACTACTAATCCTATTCCCTCCCGATTAATTACCCCCGCTTTTTATTCGCAAATAAGGTACAAATTTTCCAGTTTGATGCCAATAGGAGGGGGGGGGGTGGTAGGAGTTGATGATACCAACAAAATTAAGTATCCCTATCACTTATGTATAATTTTCCATTCCTAGGAGTATACATAAAATGAAAGTTTGACTGTATTTAATTTTAAATATTCATTTTAATACCTTTGCAATTTTGTCTTCCAAATCATTACATTTATTATCAGTCTTACGCATAGCTTGATCAAGGCCTTGAATTTTTTGTACGAAATCTTGGTCAACTTCATTAAGCTTCATTCCAATCGATTGAATAATCCCATTGGTCTGAAATAATTAGAAAAAATTTAAAAAAATAGTATACCGTAAATCCTTTAAAATAGTCCCCGTGGTTATTTTTTTCGATCGACCTCTGGAGCAGACCTGGGCGAAACTCCAAATTTTTTTCGAACGAAACGAAACGAAACAAAAATTTTTAAAAATCGTTTCGTTAACAAAACGAAACGAAACAGTCAAAATTTAACGAAACGAAACGAAACAAAACGAAACATTTTAATTTCGAAAAAAATCTCAAAAATCTGGATTATTTTATTATCTACAAAATTTTAAGCATGTTAATTGGCCAATTATGACATATAAGTGATCGTAAAATTATGTGGACCATGAATTGTGGTAAATTGTGGTCACATTAGCCAATTTTTCTCTTAATCTCACTTAAATCTAGAGTTCAGCGGTATCGGGATTTATATAAAAACCGGGATCTGGATTTTGGAATGGTGATACCGATCCCGACACAGGATCGGGATTGGTCGAAATTATCGCATTACCGAATGAGTAATTAATTATTAAGCCAAGGTCCTTCCCTCAAAAATATGCAAAAAGATTAATCTGCGGATACTCCCAGTACGGGCTCTAAAGATAATTAAAAAGGGGGTCAACTCTGTACCCCTCATTAGCTCCGTTAATCCCAAAGATCGACTGATTAAACTTGTAAAGAGATAAAAGCAAAAAATGGTGTTGATCAAAAGTTTGTAAGCCTTCAGGGTCAATAGGTCATCAGTGACCCCTGATATAGTAAAGCAGTGTTAGGCCGCTGGCGCGGTACCTGGCATAGGATTCAAGCATGGGGGGGGGCTTCCAAATCCACCAAAATTCAAGTTAATCCTCCAATATACCGGAGCCGAAGCATAATATTGTTAAGAGGGTTCCTCCATTCTGCGCCGCAGGCGAAAATTTTGAAAAATTTGGAGGATCCTTAGGCTAAAAATCAACCTTTTTCAGCGGCGCAGGCGAAAATTTTTTGAATTTTTATCACCAAAGGGGAAATTTTTTTAGTTTTTGGGGTATATTTTGGCTTAAAAAATAGGGTAATAGTGTCGTTTCCAGTCCCCATTTTTTCCTCCCAATTTTTTACCCTATGTCTGTACGGAATGGTCAAATTTTCCTCTTTCTTTCACCAAATTTGCCTTTCCATATTTTGCCTAAAAACAATCAAAAAGATTAATTTTTTATTCAGTTCTTTCACAAGGAGAAAGAACTGTTCAGTTCTTTCACACATTCTTTCACAAAGAGAAACAAATGTTTTCTGGCTATTATAGAAGGAAAAAGAAGTCTTTTTGATTGTTTTTAGGCAAAATATGGAAAGGCAAATTTGGTGAAAGAAAGGGGAAAATTTGACCATTCCGTACAAACATAGGGTGAAAAATTGGGAGGAAAGAATGGGGACTGGAAACGACACTATTACCAAAAATAGGTAATGTTTCGTTAACGAAACACAGGTGTTTCGTTAACAAAACGAAACGAAACAAATTAAAAAGTGTTTCGTCACGAAACGAGACGAAACAGGAAAAAACATAACGAAACTAACGAAACAACGAAACGAAACGAAACGTTTCGCCCACGTCTGCTCTGGAGGAGGGCTATTTTAGAGGGGGAGGGAAATTCTATTGAACTAAAATTCAATAGAACTGTGCAAAATTTCTATAATATGTAATAGATATTTAAATGAAAGTATATACAGTAAAAACCGGGTCCTAAAGAGCTAGGCATATCCAGCTAAACATACCTACATCAAGGCTTATCCACAAACACAGCATGTTTTGGGATACCTTAATAATAAAATAATTACCTTCATATTAGCTTGATTAATATTTTGTTTTAACATTAACATTTCTTCATAATTTCTTGTGATAGTTTCTTGCAAAGAATTAATAAGTTCATCTTTTTGTTGAATAATTTGTTTTAAAGAAGCAACTTCTTTAGAATTTTCAGTCTTTATTTGTTGAATTTTTGTCTCCATAGAACGATTTATATCTGTAAACTAAACAAAAAAGATAATTAAATAGGTATAATTAAATTAAACTTTTTCCTCAATTATTTTATGAAGAATTTGTCGTATTATTCGAAGTTCTTCTGGATCTCGTTGCTTCTAAATTTTATGTAAAAATATGTACATATTTTTAGAAAATTTTATTTTAAAAATTGTAAAATTAAATATTTCTTAAAAATTGTCCCTTAAGTATTCTTAACCCGCCATCGCTCCGTATTTATATAAAGGAACAATGAGATAATATTTCTAGGCACTCTTGTCGTTCTATCTGTACCAGGCCCGATAGCTGCTAAGTTAGCAGGGATGTTACATTTGAGAAAAGTAGGATCTGGTTTTCGAAATTATTGTCAAGTCAGGCTTTAGGTCGAAAAGAGTCCGGATTTCAACGTCAGGTTACACGTGATATCCCTGGTTAGGCTTTATATACAGTTGCAGTTATAGTATTCAGTTAGAACTTATTCTCCAAGTCTTTTCAGAACTTTGGTTCTAGTAAATAATCGTGGTATCCTAGCGAAAAAATAAAATAATGAAGTGTAGTTTTAATAATATCACGAATCGAAAAAATATTACTAAATTTAATCAGCACTTTAGGATTTCTTGAGAATCACCGCTATATCCCTCCCACAAAAAATTTCTCTCTAATAAACTTTACATTCTTAACTTCCTTCTCAAGCAACAATGTCTTTTCTTCGAGCTGAATCATTTTTAGTTCAAGTTCATCCTTATTATCCTTCTTCCCCATATTCTTTTCAAGTTCAAATAATTTACTTTGAACTCCCAAAACATTGCTCCCATGTTTAAGTACCAATTCCTTTA